GAATTGGCTCCGCTCCACATGGATGGAGCCAGCGCCTGAGGGGTCGAAGAGCTGATCCATGAACCGTGGGGGAAGGCAAACGCCAGAGAAGCTGCTCCACTTCCACATCAAACACACGTTTTGGGGATGTGGAGACCATCTGGAATGATTCCTTTGCCCTAGAGGGGATCAGCTCTGCTCCCTTTGTTATCAGGGAAGCCACGCTCTGCTCCCGCCCTGGCCGGGGTTGAGCTGGAGCCTTATCCGTCCCGGAACCCTCCGGAGTGCGCGGCACTATCTCTGGGGCACATGGCCCTGGGGCACTATCAGCCCCTCAGAGTGACCCAGTGGGAGCTCCGAGGATGACAGGGAGCCTCATGTCCATGGAACCTCTTGTGTCCATGGAACTATTCCGTGCCAACAGAATCCCCCATGTCCATGGAACCTCCCCTGTGTCCATGGAATCCCCTGTGTCCATGGAATCCCTCGCGGCACTATCTCTGGGGCACATGGCCCTGGGGCACTATCAGCCCCTCAGAGTGACCCAGTGGGAGCTCCGAGGATGACAGGGAGCCTCATGTCCATGGAACCTCTTGTGTCCATGGAACTATTCCGTGCCAACAGAATCCCCCATGTCCATGGAACCTCCCCTGTGTCCATGGAATCCCCTGTGTCCATGGAATCCCTTGTGTCCATGGAGCCCCTTGTGTCCATCACCTGTCCTGTGTCCATGGAATCCCCTGTGTCCATGGAGCCCCTTGTGTCCATGGAACCACCTGTGCCCATGGAATCCCCTGCGTCCATGGTGCCCCTTGTGTCCATGCAACGACCTGTGTCAATGGAACCACCCATGCCCATGGAACTCCTCTGTGTACACAAAAATCACCTATGTTCACGGAGCCCCTCATTCGTCCACAGAGCTCCCATGTCCATGGAACTCCCCAAGCCCATGGAATCCCTTGTCTCCATGGAATTCCTCTGTGTCCATGGAATCCCTAGGGTCCACGGAACTCCCTGTATCCATGTAATTCCCTGTGTCCATAGAATCCCCAGCGTCCTTGGAACTCCGTGTGTCCATGGAACTCCTGTGTATCCATGGAACTCCCTGTGTCCATGGAACTCCTGTATGTCCAGGGAATCCCTA